GGGCCACCCAGTGCCGCTACGGCTGCGGGCGTCAAGCCGGGAAGATGTCAGGGGGTTCAGTCCCCCGGGTGCCCCCCAAGGGGGAGGAGGAGGAGGAGGGCTCAGACCAGGGGCTGATGCTGTCCCCCAGCATCCTGAGGGCCCTGGAAGGGGTGCAGTACATCGCGGACCACCTGCGAGCCGAGGATGCTGACTTCTCCGTGAGTGGGTGCCCTGGGCTGGGGGGGTGAGGGGGGTCCCCCACCCCGGGTGCTGCCTCCTGCCACTTGTACCTCCACGGTGGGGGTCAGTGCTGGGACCCCTGGTTTGGTGCCCTGGCTGCTGAGGACCCAAAGCCAGGGAGAAGATCAACGACCACCTCCAGGGAGATGCCCGCTCCGGGGGGTCAGTTGAGGGTTCCTCCAGCCCCCGTCCCTGCTGGGGATGTTGGAGGTCCCTCTCCTGCCCGTGCTGTCCTGCCCTCGGAGAGCAGCGGTGGCCCAGCCTGCCCTGTTGGGACCCTGCTCAGAGGCTGCACCCCTACTTTTAGTTTCAGAAATCCCTGGGTGGGATTAGTTCTGCCCCGAGCAGCTTCCCCGGAGAAGTCCATCCCCCAGCCCTGCTGCTCCAGGGATTTCCCGAGACACGGGGTATCTCCTCACCCTGAGGCAAACGGCAGATGCAGAGGAAGCCCCAGGTGGTCTCCTCCCTCCAAGGGGCCCTCACAAACGGGGGGCTGCATCCTCTGCCCCCGCTCACAGCCCCTTTCTGCTCGGCAGGTGAAGGAGGACTGGAAGTACGTGGCCATGGTGATCGACCGCATCTTCCTCTGGATGTTCATCATCGTCTGCCTGCTGGGCACCGTGGGGCTCTTCCTCCCACCCTACCTGGCGGGCATGATCTAGGCCAGGTTGCGGTGGGGATGGCGGGCGATGCACGCTCCCTCCTCCCAGGGAGCGGGCATGGTGGTGTCCACGTCCAGCGGGACCCTCACCTCTCCCTGGGACAACGTGGAGGACCCTCGGATGGGAAATGCAGGGTGAAGCAAGAGCTGTGCTGAGGGGTGACCTGGGGATGGTGGGGAGGGACGGCTGCCTGCCATCCTGCCCGGGGCGGTCACAGCTGTCCCGGCATCGAGGAAGGCACGGTACAGCTTCTCCATTGCTCGAGCGCAGGCTGGAGACATCTAGGAGAGGAATCTCCTTCCCCGAGCTGCTGCAAGTCCTACCCAAAACCCCAGAGCTGCGTCTGGTTGTGACTCCAATGCACTGGGCAAGAAGAGGGGACCTCACAGCTGCTTTAGGACGCATCCTGACCGCAGGGTGCTGAGGACCACAGGCTGGAGCGGCCATGCATGACATGGGGCAGGCAATAACGCTTCAGATGGTCCATGCAGAAGGGGTACAGTCGTGGGATGGAGGTCCCTGCTCAGCCGCATGGCTCAGGGGTCTCTGCTCTGCAAAGCCCAGCCCAGGCACAGACCCTCTGCAACCCGCCGGCACGAGCAGTGGCTTCCACACCATCCCACACCGGAGCTCGGAGCAGCAGGGAGACGGGAACAGCCAAACCAGAAATGTGGGTGGCTTGGAAGGGAAAAACCACCCTGCAGAATGGGATAACCCACCCAGCCATGGCCCATGGACCCCGGGAGCTCAGGGGTGCTGCCTTGCACCGCGGCTGCTGGACTTGGCTGGTGCGTGGGGAACCTGCACTGCCGAGGTCCATCCCGAGCAAATCCCCCTCCCCATCCCTCATCAGATCCTAAACCGTCTGGCTCTGACGACTGCTGCAACCCAGCTTTTAATTTCTAGCTTCCGCATACCCTAAAGGACCCACGCTCACAGAGCATTTACGCTCTTCTTCCACGCCCCGAGAGACACCGGGTTTTTCCCGCGACGTTTTCTCCTCCTGGAGCCCGACCCATGGCGGTGCTGGATGCGGTCTGAGGGGTTTCAGAAAACACTTTGTGCTTTCAGGAGTGAAACGGGCCGGAATAAACGGTGCCGCGGAGGGACGTGCA